AGAGAGAGAGAGAGAGAGAGAGAGAGAGAGAGAGAGAGAGAGAGAGAGAGGAGCGAGGAGAGAGAGAAGAGAGAGAGGAGAGAGAGAGAAGAAATTAACCTCTTCCCCGTAGGACACAGAACTCAGTTCCTAGCTAACCAAGATGCGCAGGGCGGCAACTGCGACCTGTGTGGAGCTGGCTCTGCAGCCGTACGTCCGTCGCTGCAGTCAGGAGGTTGTGAACCATGACCTGTGGTGAGCAGTGGAAGAGTGGCCGCCGTGGCCCTGTCGGTGGTGGTTAGCTTTTGTCTTGCTCTGTTAAGCAAACACAGTTAATGCAGATGAAAGGCAGCCTCGGTAGAAGTGAAAATTGAAACTGGGGTGGAAGGCAGGCCGCACAGCTGCTCTTCTGCTTCCTCCTGTGGCAGCGGGATCAACACTTCTGATGTGTTTTGGAAGGGATGTAGTTTTTAAAAATATCATTTTTTTTTCTCAGAGTGTTTTGGGTTTTTACATGCACCCCAGTGAAGGAAGGGTGTGGAATGGAGTTGAGAAACAGCCACCTAGACTTTTTTTTTTTTTAATATGAGTGTACGGGGTCAAATCCAACTAACTGAGAGTTTGAGTTTAGTTTTTTGTTCTTATTGTTTAGACTTTTATTTTATGTATATGAATGTTTTGACTGGAAGTATGTTTGTGACTACCTGTACTCCTGTGGAAGTCAAAAGGGAGCGTCGGACCCTCTGGAACTGGAGTTACAGATGGTTGTGAGCCACCACGTGGGTGCTGGGGACCAAACCCGGGTCGTCTGTGAGAGCAGCCAGTGCCCTCAGCTGCTGAGCCAGCTCTCCCGCGCTGGCCTGGAACCAACTGGCTGTGTAAAGTTGGGAAAATGGCTGAAAGCGTCTCTGCTTCCGTACTTCCTGTCTGAAAAAAGGAAGGTTGAAGTAACTGATCTCTGTGTTCCCTTCCGCTCTAAATCCTATGGATGTGTGTTTCTCTGTGGAGAAGCAAAACTTCCGATGTCTGAAAACTCGGGATTTGAAAAAATAAACACTTACACTGCATAGTTTATACATGGAAATCTCTTACAAACACTGGTCTCATAAGGCAAACTTTTTAGGCTTTTTTTGTCTTGAGGTGGGGGCCAGGGTGGCCTGGAACTCATTGTGTAGACTAAACTGGCCTCAGACTCAGAGATCTGCCTGCCTCGGCATCCTAAGTGCTGGCACTACAGGTGTGTGTGACTACATCCAGTGTGGCTTCCGTGTATCTTATGTTATTCTTCTTAAAAGAATTGTAGAGGGTGGAGGCAGTGCCTCAGTTTACCATACATGTTTGCCACACAGGAAGACCTGAGTTTGACCTCCAGCACCCAAATGAAATGGCAGGTATGATTACAAGCCCTTGTAATCCCGGCACTGAGGAGGTAGAGACAAGATGGTCCCCGGTGCTCACTGGCTGGCTAGTCAGCCTAGCCTGACCACTGAACCTCAAGTCCCAGTGAGAGAAAGAGAGAGAGAGAGACAGAGAGAGAGACACAGAGAGAGCGCCTCAAAAAACAAGGTGAACAGCTCTTGAGAATTGACATCTGAGTTGACTTTGGCCTACACAAACACACACACACACACACACACACACACACACACACACACACACACACACAATGTAGCATGACTGGAGAGGTCGCTGAGACAGAATGGTACCTAGATTCTGAGTTCCATCCTTCTGACTGTCCCCAACTGCAAAAGGAATGCCCAACAGTGCAGCAGCCCTTTAAAGAGTGATGATGCTTAGTCATATTAGCCATAACTTACTTGGGCCAGTGCCTCCTCTCATGAACTGGTCTAGGGCCCTGAGTTTAGTCCTACTTGGATTAGGGCTAGCCTTCTCTTCCCCTAACCGGGTTGAACCCAGCTCACCCAGATCCATGGAAGTGGCTCCTCAGGTTGAATTAAAACATTACTTCTCCTTTTGTCTTTCTCGACACTATTCATGAGCACCAACACTTCCTCTGCCTTCAGTGCTATCTCTATGGCTTCCGAGAGAGAGAGAGAGAGAGAGAGAGAGAGAGAGAGAGAGAGAGAGAGAGAGAGAGAGTTTTTCCCACAATTCACAAGGAAGGAAAGAGGCAAAACATGGCTTCGACTCAGAAAAATGGTTTTACTATTCCACTCAACCTTAGCGGCCTGCCCGGAGGCCTTTGCAGCATTGAAATGGTATTTTCATCTTGAAACAAAAGAGCATGTCCCACAGCCTGTTTAACTGCAGCCACCAAAAAAGACCTGTGACTCTTCCTTCTCCCCGAGGACTAGGGTCGGGTTGTTCAAAATGTTGGATTCGTGGTCTCTTTGGATAGTCACAGCTAAAACTTGTTATCTCTAATCTTCTGGATGGCCTAGGACACTGCCATCTCTCTCTCTCTCTCTCTCTCTCTCTCTCTCTCTCTCT